GCTGTGCAAAGGTGCTGTCAGGTGTGGTAATGTCCTTGATCGGTAGAGGAATGTTGTAGACAACAGACAGGAGTGGAGAGGAGTTATGCATACAACTTGTGAATGCTTCAACATAAAGAGAATCAAACAGTATGAAAGAAAAAGTGAACGAAGATTAAAGAATTTGAACAAAAGATGATCTATGAACTTTACATCGATAGATATTTGTACTACATTTATTATTCTGTGTAGTGCCCGTTTTGGGCTCTCACTAGGCGTATATATATGTGACGTGATTGTGACCTTACCCCAGGTATGTATGTGTGTATGTATGTGTGTGTTGTTTCAGTTCTACACAGGGACGAGGAGTTCGCACATCTACATGTTCCAGATGGCCGACTTCAAGCACGAGATGACGGGAACGTGTCACGACTCCGGCATTCTCGACATCGTCTTCCCCTCGTACGTTCTCTTGTTTGTCCGGCCGCCGCGCGCGTCGTTCGCGGAAGCGTAGAGATACCTGTCGTACTTGTTTTGTGGAGACTTAAATTGACTACGTCACGAATTTTCTATGGTGTGTATTTGTAAAATTTTTGTTGCCATTTTTTTTCATTAAAAGTAAGTAGTAATGGGACAAAATGTATCGTCAAATTCTTACCTGATAAGATTGTTTCTCAACTAGTTAAAAATCCAAAAAAAATCGGACGATATAATATTATGATCCTGACATTAATTGCTTGCTATGGGCTATGTATGAGTCACAAGTGTTTGTTTACATCGAACAATATAGTAAAATAAGAAGTATAATGCAGCAATTTAACCATAAAAAGTGAACAGAATTACTTACATTTTGTAAAAAAGCGACAGGAAGTATAATGCAGCAATTTAACCATAAAAAGTGAACAGAATTACTTACATTTTGTAAAAAAGTGTGAATATTTTTTTTTACCTTTACTATTTACGGTGACGATATCGCTTCAACGTAAAAGTGTGTGAACAGTCGAGATCTGTATGTTAGGGTCATTTGCGGGAACTCGTCGGGAAGCTGTCCTTTATAGAGAGGTGTCCATTCTATAGAGGTATACCTTCACTGTCTAAATGGCTTCCCTCTGAAGGAAAACAGCAGAAGTTTCCTTTGTAGACAGGTGTCCTTTCTGTGAAGGTGCCGGCTAACTCTGATTTTGACTGTATGTGCTCATACTGGGTCGACGCATGTTTGTGCGCGCGTTGTGCATCGGTGTGTGCATGGATCGTGTTGTTCCTCGGCATGTTCCTGGCCGTGTGTTCACCGGCGTTGTTCCGCCTTCCCCGCAGGAGATCGTCGGATCTGTTCGCGACGTGTTCGCGAGAGCACATCTGTGTTTGGAACGCCGAGACGAGTCAGGAACTGCTGCGAATACGCGTTCCGAACATGACCTGTAACGCCATCGACATCATGGAGGATGGACGCTTCTGCTATCTATCTCCCTCGCTCTCCGCTGCTATCTATATCCTTCGCTCTCCGCTGCTATCTATCTCCCCTGCTCTTCTCTGCTATCTATCTCCCCTGCTCTCTTCTGCTATCTATCTCCTCCACTCTCCTCTGCTATCTATCTCCGCTGCTCTCCTTTGCTATCTATCTCCGTCGCTCTCATCTGCTATCTATCTCCGTCGCTCTCAACTGCTATCTATCTCCTCCACTCTCTTCTGCTATCTATCTCCTCCACTCTCCTCTGCTATCTATCTCCGCTGCTCTCCTTTGCTATCTATCTCCGTCGCTCTCCGCTGCTATTTATCTCTGCTGCTCTCTGCTATCTAACTCCGTCGCTCTCCGCTACTATCTATCTCCACCGCTCTCCGCTGCTCTCCGCTGCTCTCCTCTGCTCTCCTCTGCTATCTATCTCTGCTGCTCTCTGCTGCTATCTATCTCCGCTGCTATCTATCTCTTCTGCTCTCCTCTGCTATATATCTCCACCGCTTTCCTCTGCTATCTATCTTCGCTGCTCTCCTCTGCTATCTATCTCCTCTGTTCTCCTCTGCTATCGATCTCTGCTGCTCTCCTCTACTATCTATCTCTGCCGCTCTCCTCTACTATCTATCTCCCCTGCTCTCCGCTGCTATCTATCTCCCCCGCTCTCCGCTGCTATCTATCTCCTTCGCTCTCATCTGCTATCTATCTCCTCCGCTCTCTGCTCTACTATCTATCTCCTCCGCTCTCTGCTCTACTATCTATCTCCGCTGCTCTCTGCTATCTATCTCCTCTGCTCTCCGCTGCTATCTATCTCCACCGCTCTCTGCTCTACTATCTATCTCCCCCGCTCTCTGCTCTACTATCTATCTCCCCCGCTCTCTGTTCTACTAGCTATCTCCCCCGCTCTCCGCTGCTATCTATCTCCCCTGCTCTCCTCTGCTATCTATCTCCGTCGCTCATCTGCTATCTATCTCATCCGCTCTCTGCTCTACTATCTATCTCCCCCGCTGCTATCTATCTCCCCGCTCTCCGCTGCTATCTATCTCCGCCGCTCTCCTCTGCTATCTATCTCCGCTGCTCTCCCCTGCTATCTATCTATCTCTGCCGTGGATTTCACTTGACGTCTCGTCCCGCTAACAACCATGTCTCACGTATCGCGTATTCACACATGCTGCAGCATGCTGTAGTTTCGCTGCCAGGGTCTATGTCCCCCAGGGTACTGCCGGAACGTACCCTGGGTACGGTGGGGTATATAGACCCTCTCAGCGTCAGTAACGTACACAGTTTGCACCTAACCTTACCACCCCACCTAAACCTACCTAAACCTACCTAAACCTGTTAATTTACACCAGTGTCAATACCATCACCTGTACAGGCAGACACCTGCAATCGTCACGCTCAGACACGTGTCCGGATGTGTGACCATCATCATCTTCACGGTTAACGTAGTCTTTATAAGTTTCCTATCTCTCAGTGCAGTCAGACTCACCTGCGTTTTAACATAGT